CAGTCAGCTTCAGCACATCCTTCTGCAGTGATACAGTGTTTCATCATCATCTCGGCCTCACATGGTCTCGTTCATAGAGACATCGATTTGCTCTGTCGTAAAAATGTCCGCTTCCCTCCTGAATGCTAAGTAAGATAGAGCGGTTCCGGTAACTACAAACCAAACTACAAAAATAGATATATACAAAGCTTGCGTCAGAGAATCGAGCGACAATTCAAGTTGCGAAATAGGGCGGCGAACCGTCGGTCGGAGAAGTCTTCAGGCGTACGAGGATCAGGATGCCTAGCCGTGGTGGCAATGCTTGGACTCACACAACCCCCCCTCTGCGGTGCTAAGGAGGGGCACGCCCCGACACGACGCCACGCCCGGACGGACGGACTCGCTTCGCCGTTTTTGGCGAGCAAAGAACGAACTTCCAATATTTGACCGTCGGCGGTAAAATTTGTCGACCGGCCAATTGCTGAGACGCCCGTGAATACGTTGCTGAACTCTGCTTCCCCTTCCCTAGTCACCGTGGCCCAACGGGGTCAAGCCTGCACGGGCTGCGTGACGCAAGCCGCAAGGACTTAGTAGCAAGGGGCACGAGGCACGAGGAGGCCCGTCTCTACAGACCCGGCGGCTCCGCGTGCATGACGACCCTCTTCCACGTCTTTGCGGTTGCCGCACCCGCCAAACGAGCGGCCGCGGAAGTGGGGCCGTGCGCGCTCGTGCAGACGCCGTTCACCCGCCCAGACTTTGGCGACAGCAATTGCGCCGAATACTTGAACTTGCCGCTCTCGTCGCCACCCAACTGCTCTGAGGGGTCCACGAGAGTGCCCCGTATCTACCATGCAGTTGGCGGCAGCGCGGAGCGCCCATCCAACGTGGCCATGAATGCTGCCGTTCACCTCGATGGCTTTGTGGTGAACTATCACGACGACGAGTCGGCGTTCGAGTACGTGACCAAGCACTGCGGGCGAGAGGCCGGGCAGGCGTACCGCTGCCTGCTCGCCCCCGCGTTTCGCGCCGATCTCTTCCGCTTCTGCGCCCTGTCCGCCGAAGGCGGCGTCTACCTGGATACCGATCTCGTGCTGCTCAAGCCGATTGCCAGCGTAGTCGACATGTGTGACGCGGGCGCGACCATCGGCCGTGACATTTCGGGGGCCGACGAACGGAAGCAGATGATCCTCGCGAGCGTGCCGTCGCACCCGCTCCCCCGCTGCATGCTCGACTCGATCCTCCGCAACGTCCGACAGCGATTCGTCCCTCCCAAGGGCAGGCCGCTTATGCTCACCGGCCCCGAGCTGCTGGACTGGTGCTACAACCAGACGGCTGGCAACGACGTTGCGATCACGTATCGGGACTCGGTCCGCGCGACCTACCCGCACTCTGGAATGGTCGGCGTCGGTGGGCTCGTTGCCTTCGAGCAGCCAAACGACATGGACTACATCTATACAGACGAGTGCACTCTCTCCGTGCCACCGAGCGACGCGGCGGCGACGCCCCCCCAAATGGCCAAAACGGCCTCCACTCAGGGGGGTCGGCACATTACCACGGGCATCTCGCCCAGCATCTCGCACTCGGAGCAACAGAGCTGGTGCATGCTGAACGGCCTCGGTCCCAACTGCACTACGACGCCGCAACTGGTGAAGCTCGTCAAGCAGGCCCAGTCCCCTATGCCACCGATCAGCGGCTGGATGAAAAACGACCCAGCGGTGCCTCTTCCGCGCTTGCAGCTGCTGCGCCCGCCCGCGCAACCCAACGAGGAGATCAACATCTGCTACGTCCACGTGAACAAGGCCGGCGGCCTGTCGGGAATCAAAGCGTTCCGTAAGTTTCAAGATGCTGGGATGATCAACCAGCTCGTCGAGCTGCACGGCCTCGAGCCAGGCGAAAGCTCCCCCCGGACGGGGAAGAAGGGATCGACGAATTGGTTTAGTCAGTGGAGTGCGCCGATGAGCCCCAACGCGTGCACCATCGGTGGCTTTCAAGAGGGTGTTCATCCAGGGATCACGATGGCCTTCAAGGTGGTCCTCTGGGTGCGAGACCCGATCACGCGGGTGATCTCCTCGTGGAACTTCTTGCGAACCAAACCGAGGGCTGATGCATGGGGTGACCAGATGCAGGCGGAGGCGAGAGAATGGGATTACATGAGAAACTACATGCAACACACGCTCAAAATGAACATGTCTACCAGCTTTCATGGCAGCGGGTTTGCCGAAGCGGTTGCGGCCGCTCACGCGGCTGGCGGTTTGGCCGAGCTGATCATGAACCTCGGCCACGCTCGCGCCACGCTTGCACGCTACCTCTTTGAAGGGGACGGCTCAATGGCTTCCGCAAGTCGCATTGCGTTCGTAGGACGTGTGGAGGCGTTTGGCGAGGACTGGGCTCGATTGGTCGACCTTCTTGGACTCACGAAACAGTACCAGGGAAGGCCGTCGTTGAAGCCGCCTCAAACTCACAGTACTGCGCGTGGCGGCTCACTGCTCAGCGGCACAAGTGTGCTGGCGCTGCGCAAGGCGCTGTCGCTGTCGTACGCCAGCATCTGGTGGCTCCAATCAAATGGGCTGCTGCCGGTCGGCTACTATGAGACCATCACGTCCCGTGAGGACTACGAAGACTGAGAACACCTTTCCGCGTACCAGGTCCAGGAGTTGTCCTGCGGGTGGACCGTAAGGATCTGATAGGATAGCTAGGTATGGTGAGGCTGTGTAGTGTGCGGTGGCGACCGTCGCGTGGCTGGCTGTGGTCTCGAAAGGTGGGCGCTCCTAGGATTCCTACACTACCCGGTATGACACACCACATGACCAACATGACCAACATGTGTGGATTAAGTATGTGTCGCATGTGGCGTTGTGGCGGTTCGAAGCTTCGAACAAGTGTGGTCGTGTCGCACAAACACTCCAAGCACCAAGGCAAAAGAATTTAACAAAATCAACTCTCTCTCACAGCAGACAGGCTCGACACAGGTGTTAAAAAGAATTGAAACAGCACAACTCGCTCTCACAGCAGACAGGCTCGACACAGTTGCGGACTGGCGCGTGCTAGCAAGTGTTAAAAAGAATTTAAACAACGGAACTCTCTCTCACAGCAGACAGGCTCGACACAGGTGCGAACTGGCGCGTGCTAGTACTATCACCGGCACACCACCGGAGCCGCCTAAGCGACTCCGTTAAAAAGAATTCAACGAAGAGAACTCTCTCTCACAGCACACAGGTTCGACACAGGTACGCCACGGTACCAAAAGAGGAACAGTCGGTAAAAAGAATTTCCTAACTTGATAGCCCGGGCCCTCTACTGATGCCCAGCGGCTCGCGCTCTCCCTCTCCGACCCGCTCCGAGGTGGGCAGCGATTACTGGGATCCGCCGTGTCGCGTCTGCAAGAAAGTGGACAACGAGCCCAACGTCCTCTGCGAACTGTGCAACGGCGCCTACCACCTTGCGTGCATCCACAACGTCAAGCCGCCGCTCCCTCGCACGCCCGAGGACGAGGAGTGGTTCTGCCGCGGCTGCATCAAGCGCGGCGTGCCC